TTTTTCAACTTTAGTTAGTCTGTAATGTTGCTGTTTGAGCATAAAAAAGATCTGCAAAGTTTCAAAGCTCAAAGTCCAATTCAAAAGGAGATATTTTATTTAACAGAAATCACTTTTCACGAACTAACGACTCGTTTGGACTACAACGCATATTTTCTGGGATTTGTGATATCACAAATATCAACGAATGGGACGAGACCTGGTTGAGCTGCACTAGAGAAGGCAACGATTGTTATCACTATGTTGGAGACACGCTAGCTTTCCCAAGGCATATGAACTTAGAGTGGTTACAATCATCCGGGTTTAAATCGCGCTCAAACTGAATTGATATTGACGCAATATTTACACTGAAGCTCGCAGGCGCCTATGGTAAGGGGCGTGACATTTCCCGACCAGGTGCCGAGTGCTGCCAATCACAACACACACTGGCCCAGCTAACCAATCACAGCACATTTCATTCATTTAGATTTCGTACAGTTATGCATGATGTTTCATAAAGTATGTTTCTTACAGTTATGCATAGCACAAAATCTAATTAAAACAACTTTGTGATGTAAATCAGATGGTATTGAAAATGCTTCTGATTATAAAATGTACAACTGAACAAGAATGCCGATCAGGAACACATTATAATATTGTCACTAAAGATGAGACCAATTACGACATCAGACTAACCCACATGGCTGTTTGAAGCAATTATCACACAAGAATGACACAGTACCATTGTGAGCATGAATGCTCGCTTTTTACTCTAGGAGAATAAAACAGCAAACCGTACACAAAGAATTCACGGATTATCACCCATTTAGTGTCTGATGCACTAAATCAGTGAAAAACAGCATTAATGGTACAAAGTATAATACTGCAGATTTTATGTGCATAAAAACCCTCAGTGTAATTACTAATGCTGAAATGGGCATTAGGTTTTCGGTGTTAATTCGTGTGAAGCTGTGCCAGGCAGGCAGGCGGGTATCTTACTTATTCCTCTGTCTTCGTGACTGTCTTCATCTCTGTCATCTCGTTCATTGTCCAGGTTGGACATCCGGACAGACATCTCTGATAAAAGAGACAGAGAAAGAAAGACGGGCGTAAGAGAAAATTAGACAGATCATTTTTCTCAAATAAATGACAAAGTATATATTTTTGTCTCCTTTGTTGGATTGGATTCTCTTTGTCTACTTTCAGGACTTGTGTAAACATCTAATTGTTTTGGTTCATATTTATGCAGAAATATAGAAAATTCTAAAGGGTTCACAAACTTTCAAGCAGCACTGTGTATATATATATATATATATATATATATATATATATATATATATAAATAATATAAAATTGAAGCAATTATCACACAAGAATGACACAGTACCATTGTGAGCATGAATGCTCGCTTTTTACTCTAGGAGAATAAAACAGCACACTGTACACAAAGAATTCACGGATTATCATCCATTTGGTGTCTGATGCACTGAATCGGTGAAAAACAGCATTAATGGTACAAAGTACAATACTGTAGATTTGATGTACATAAAAACCCTCAGTGTAATTACTAATGCTAAAATGGGCATTAAAGGTTTTCTGTGTTAATTCGCGTGAAGCGGTGCCAGGCAGGGAGGCGGGTATCTTACTTATTCCTCTGTCTTCGTGACTGTCTTCATCTCTGTCATCTCGTTCGTTGTCCAGGTTGGACATCCGGACAGACATCTCTGATAAAAGAGACAGAGAAAGAAAGACGGGCGTAAGAGAAAATTAGACAGATGGAGCAATCCTGATCAGATTTGATGTAATATATCTTTGTCTTCTCTTTTGGTCCACAGGCTCTCTCATAAAAAAAGACGACAGACATCAAATCTCCTCAAATCACTTTTTGCCCACGAATGCCCATCAGACATTAAAAACCGAGGAAAGCCAATTCAAGGGGAATATAGCATTCCAGTCTATTCATTTCTAAAATGCAGATTCAGACTAAAGTGGACTCTCTCAGACAGTTTATGTAACTGCAAAACTGACTGCAACACAGACTGATTCAAACACATTTATATTGCATCAGACCAAGTTATACTTCCTAGTCATGCACATATAGAGACTGAATTTGGCTGAGACATGAGGGAGCAACTGCAAGGGAAGAGGGAATTCAGCTCTTTAAATTACTTTTATATCCTTCTATGTTCCTTTTAGCAGTCAGCTGTGCTTTAGTATCTCATTAGCACAGGGAGTAGCACACTTTAAAAGTGCACTCAATAATCTTTCCCTCATTAAAGTGAGTTTTACTTGCTCTTCCTCTGAAACAACTTTCCTTCTCAGGCTGACGTCACCAGCTTCTTTGTCAGAGATCACTTGTCACTTTCTAATCAATTCTCAATTATAAAAGGTCCCGGTCTACATTTTATAATCTTTGATTATCTTGTTTCCCTCTGAAATATGTCACATAATAAATGTAACATGGGTTATGCGCTTTGACTTTAATTCAATAATCTTTAATGCTGATTCTTTTTTATTCAGTAGTAAACTATTAAAACAAAACCAAATCACAACAAAGTCAAACATAGAGCTGCTTGATAATGGCAAAAATCATAATCACGATTATTTTGGACAATATTGCAATCACAATTAACACAAGGAGTGGGCGATATCACACATCAGAGTATTTTTTTTCCCACAATAGTGCTATATTATTAAGTATATTTTGCTGAAAAATAAAGATGCTATGATATCAAAATTTAGACACCAGTGACATTTCACAAATCTTGATGATAAAAAATAAAATAAATAGAACACAGAACAGTCTGTATAAATTACATATACACAAATGTTTATTAAAGCTACTAAAGTTATTCAGTCAAGCAGTAAATATACAGTCTGCAATATACTTCTGTTCGTGTTCATTTTTGACATTTTTGTGTGTATTTGACTGTTAGCCATGTATCCGAAGCCCAAAGTATACTTTGCTTGTCTGTGTAGCTTGGTTCCTCTTGGAAAGCACATACATAAAGTCACCTGAGGAACAGCATGAGCTCTCTTTAGCAGCTTAACGCACTTTTAACAACTGCCATCCTGTAGTAGACTGCATATTATGACAGTCACATTACAAGATTTGACTGATTTGGACATTCTGTTTGGGATTTTAAGGAGAAGTGAAAGCAAACTGCTTTAAAGCAAAGGAAAGGAATGCAGCACAATAATGTTTGTATCTTGATTATCGTGTTTTTGTAATCATTGGAAGTCTAAATGGAAACTGAAATTTAATCCAGAACCCTAGCATTGTTTCCCAACAGTCCCAGGTACGAATCACTTTCACTTTTAGACTCAAAGTGTCCAGACTCACCTTGTGCAGCCAGCGGGGACATGTGCTGATGGCTGCGACGGTGGATCTGGTGCCTGTAGGCATACACGGCTAACACCAGCACCATGATGCATCCCATAATCCCACCTGCCACTGGCCCCACAGGCGCACTCTTGATCATATTCAGTGAAGCCAACTCCTCATCTGCAAAGAGATGAAGAAATACTAAAATAATGATATATTGAAATGAAATAAAGAACACACTAGCAAAGACTTGCTACACACTAGCAAAGATCCTCAAGGCACAATGTGTGACTCATGGAGTCAGTGTAATTCCAAACTTCTGTGCATATCTTTCCAAAACAGCAAAACTAAACAATAGAAAGAAGTAATTTTCTAGTGGACTATTGTGACCCATCAATGCAATTTACCAACATATGCTATTATAAACAGAACACATAATAAACTGCAATAATAGTGTGACTACAGAAGTAGCAGCTCACCTAAAATGCCCAGTCCATCCACATAAGGACTCTTGGCACCCACTATCCCTCCAAAACATTCCTTCTGTAGGGCACAGTAAGGCTTATCCAGATGGGTCTTTCCGTCACTGTCAACCATACACCACTCACAGTCCAGAACACCAAAACAGTCACTACAACCCACACAAATAAAACAGAACATACAAAAAGCAATGTTATAGAGATGGCTACACATACCACATACACTACCATGCAAAAGTTTGGGGTCAGTAGGATTTTTAAAAATGTTTTTGAAAGATATCTCTTTCGTTTACCAAGGCAGTATTTATTTGATAAAAAATACAGTAAAACTGTAAAATATTACAATTAAAAATAACTTTTCTATTTTCATATATTTTAAAATGCATTTTTTTCCTGTGATGACAAAGCTGAATTTTCAGCAGCCATTACTCAAGTCTTCAGCTTGACATGATCCTTCAGAAATCATTCTAATATGCTGATTTAGTTCTCAAGAAACATTTCTTATTATTATCAATGTTGAAATCAGTTGTGCTGCTTAATATTTTTGTGGAAAACATGACACATTTTTAGGATTATTTGAGGAACAGAAAGTACTAAAGAACAGCATTTATTTGAAACAAAAATCTTTTGTTTCACCAAAGTACCCCCACCACCTACAATATGTTCAACTATACTTGTTTCTAAAAATATATATTTTTTAATATGTATATTTAACACCAAGGTTCCATCAGTTAACATTAGTTAATGAATAAACTAACATAAACTAACAATGAACAATACATTTATAGTTATAGTATTTATTTATTCATCTTTGTTAACGTAAATGATTCAAGTTCATATCAGTTCAGGTCCATTAAATAATATTAACAGATTGTACTTTGGATTTTAATAATGTTGAAAACACCATTAACAAAGACTAATAAATGCTTTAGAAGTATTTTTCATTGCTAGTTCATATAGTTAACTGATGTTAACAAATGGAACCCTATTGTAAAGTGTTACCAACACAGACTTGGTTCTTTGAGTCTATGTTGAACGACAGTGTGAGAAACTCATGAGCTATTTGTGAGTCTTTGATTTCGATAGTCCCTAATAATAGCTGACATTGTATGATCTTGAGAAACACGCATGCTTCTTGTTGTGGTCAGCACAGGTTGTGAATAAGTGATGTGAGATTAGCTGTGTTAAGTGAAAGGAGAAACATTATTACTCTCAGAGACTCTGTGTTTCTGTTAAGGTCCTGCTAAGAGCAGGCTGATCACAAATGATACAGTATATGGCCGTACCTGCTGGTGAAGCGCTGGCTGCATCTGGTGTTGATACACTGAGGCAGAGTGTCCTGTAGACTGGGCTCAATAACAGTCAAAGACAAAGGCTCTTGGTGCACGTCACAGCTCGGATTTCTATGCACACAAACACAGTAGTAAGGCAAGCTGAGTCAATTAGGCCCTAAATACAACATGTAACTCATTAAAGTCAAAGCTATTTGTAATTATTTGTAATAGTCTGCCAACAATGTTGTTCTGTAGATCAGTGACATTCAACAGACAACAAATAATCAACAGTTATTATTGCTACACAGTGAATAATACCCAGCCTTTTTTTTTACTACAGGTCTCTGTAGTAAAGGATACATTTATTAGCATTCAAGTGTACAATTTTTCACTAAAATGAACAGATGGCACAGTGACAGAAAGGTAAATGCCTTGAGATCTCTCAGCTGGGAATAATGTGACAAAACTGAAAGTGTCTAAATGTCTATTGAGGAACAATCCTGAACTGACGGCTAATTGAGGACACAGGTGGCTGGATATCTATTCATCGTGACAAACAAGAACTCAGTGCATGCTGATGAGAATCTGGACAAGTGGTCCAGTGATTAATTTCTGGATCATATATTGTGGCAGTCTATTTTCCAAGCACTTGAGGGGTTAACCTTTGCATCCACACACATTGTGTACAACATGTATTATGTGTTAAAATGTGCTTAATGTCTACTTCTACATGACCTTCAATAAATAACACAAGACTGTCCTGTAAACAGCAGCGGTTTACCTGTTCTCAGCGTTGGTGAGGTTGCCAGTACATTCATTCACCTCTAGAGGGCATTCACAGGGGCACTCGCATTCATTCTGCTCCATTCTGAGGAAGATGGGAATGGGAAAGTCTGTTTACAGGTCTTTTAACCTGTTTACAGGTCTTTTTAAAAATAGTTTTGCCAGTGTACTTCTACTAGTTGATAAAAATAGCTTTTAGAAGATGAACGCCTTTTAAATTTACAGTCCTCCTCACATTTGGACAAATTCTGTTAAATGCACAAATTTTTGTTAAATCAATATAAAAAAAATTGATTCATCACTGTAGGTTATGACTAAAGCCTCCTGGCATTTAAAAAATGTAACTGGCTATTACCTTATGGGTTAAATTCCACAAATGTTAATAATAAATAAAATAAAATACATAAATAAATGTGTTTACAGGTCTTTTTAAAAATAGTTTTGCTAGTGTACTTCTACTAGTTGATAAAAATAGCTTTTAGAAGATGAACACCTTTTAAATTTACAGTCCTCCTCACATTTGGACAAATTCTGTTAAATGCACAAATTTTTGTTAAATCAATATAAAAAAAATTGATTAATCACTGTAGGTTATGACTAAAGCCTCCTGGCATTTAAAAAATGTAACTGGCTATTACCTTATGGGTTAAATTCCACAAATGTTAATAATAAATAAAATAAAATACATAAATAAATGCCATCGAAAAGTTTGGGGTCAGTAAGATTGTTTTTAAAGTAATTAATATTTTTATTCAGCAAGTATGCAGTAAATTCATGAAAAATGACTTTTAAACTTCCTGTTCATCAAAATATCCTAAAAAATACTTAAACGAATAGAGCACTAAAGATAACATGTTAGTAGTAGAGTTGTGCAGACTGTAAACATTACCTGTGGCAGTTAAGACAGAGACGATCCACAGTACTGCAAGCACAGAAGGCCAGTGAATCACAGGTCTCATTCACAATACCAGCAAACGCATTGGTTCCTGGGATACGAGTGAGCCGGTACTTTGAGCAGTGACTGCCATGCACAAGGTTTGTCAGATCACCCTTAAAAATGACAAACACACAGTAAGCCATTAACAATCATTTGAATTCATAACAGTCTTTCACTTTGTGCATACAATTTCTCATTAAAAACAACAATTTATAATTGCCCAGCTTGGTTATACTAGAAAGCACATCTGTTATAGCCGCTACTAAAACAACCTCCACTAGGTGGCGTGCTAACATAACTAATACATTAGGCTGACTAAACCTTCAAGGTAAAAAAACGGCAGGATTGTCACTTCAAACTAAATTTACAGTAGCCTGATATGAAATAATTCATATGAGACTCCACTCACGACAATGCTGGTGTTGAACTTGTAGAAACGCTGCACGGTACGATCACTGAAACTGTTACACAGGTTCTTCTTCACAAAGTTGGGGTGGTTGAGAATGTCATTGGCCACTAGAGGCTCCTAAAGTCAATCAGGAGAAAACGATGAACTCCCTAATATTGTTTTTCAGTTTCATTACCAAACTTTGAATATGATATGGCTGAAGAGTAAAAAGTCCCCTTTTTCTAAGGACAAAAACATAAAAATGCCTATTTTCTTGTGAAAGACAGGTAATGTTTGTCCTCAGAGCCACAGTTCCTTACCTTATGAGTAATATGTTGCTGTTCTGCTGGAGCATGGCCCTTCGGGTCAATCAGGGTCGGATGGGCCACCAGATAGCCTCTGTCCTCCATGATAAAACACCTACACATACATAAAGACAAACAGGATCAAGCACTCTGAGCCTTACAAAGATCCAAAATGACATTTAGAGGGGAAAGGTGGAAGGAAACAGTAGATGGCTTCCTGTATGTTCACAGGGTACCATCTGCAGTTCCGAACAGTTCAGGTTATTGTGTGGCACACTGAGGCATTCCACTTCACTAATCCTGTTTAATGACCATAGCACTGAGAAAAACTCAAAGAACACTGAGGCCTCCACAGCACAGACAGATAAAGAGACAGAGAGAGCATGAAGAGGGGCAAAGAAAGAGACAAATAGAGTAGAAATAGAGTTAAGAATAAAGAAAAAGGGAGGGAAGAGAGGAATGAGAGGGAAGGGTAAAAGAAAGACAGAAAAGAAGGGAGCGAGGGAAAAATGGGGGCACTGGCACCTAACATAACAGGATGTGTCTGGAATGCAGCCCTAATCAGCTTATCTCCCTTTGTGTCTTTCAGGCAGTCCTAAAAAATATTGAGCTACAGACATGAATGATAAAGCAAACTGCACAGCTTTTTCAGACGAAGCGTGCGATTACTTTTCTGAAAAATTACATATATATGGTTGACTACCCAAATAACATTTCCAAATAAATACATTTCCAAATAAAATTTTTGATAAAAAAAAAAAATTATAATAAATGAATGAAAAATAAATCAAATCAAATAATTACATTATTGAATTTAAAAAGTTGGGGTGAATTAAATATCTGGATTTTTAGTTGTTTTAGCTTATTTTAAAGTTTGTTTTGCCTTATTTTAAAACATTTTAAGTAATCTTGAACTTTGCTGAGGCCCCTGTTTCAGAGCCACTGGTCTAAATAATATATTTAAATATGCTAATGATTAAATATTCAAGAACTGCATCTAAAATTAGAAATTTATTTTAATTTATATTTTTTCTGAACCCTGGCATGAACTGTACTTAAAAGGTAATGGAGTTGATTATGATTTAGTATCATCATAAGTTGTTCATCATGATGTCATGATGTAATCTTTCTGTAATTTTTCAACCGTTCTTCCTGGTCAGAGGTTTCCATAAATACATGTTTACACAGTTTAATGGTGTTATGCTCTAATATTTTAGTAGTGTACAAAATTGTAACTTTGTGCACATTTACTCAACAACTAGGCTTGTAACTTCAGCTAAGCCGGTTCTCTGAATATCATAAGCAACCGCTCTAACGATAATAAAAACTTGACAACTGCCACAATACCCTAGTATCATTGCAGCAACTTTTGCAGAGGCAAGCACCACCTAATTTTATTTTTTGAAAAATAAATATCATTGTTCCAGTCTTTATACTTTTCCCTTCTCATCTCTCCTCTCTCTCAACATCTAGCCCTCCCTCACAGTTTCTTGATCCCCACCTCAGATCGTTCTCATTCTCTCTTCCTATCCTAAAAGAGGGAGCTTAGAAGCATGCAGAGAAGACTAAGTGAATGCCTCTTTTCCAACAGAAGCAAATCTGATTAGTTTCGTTTGAAAGAGCTTTAAAGAGCCTCTGTGGGGCATCGATAGCTTCAGGCACTACGCTGGACACCACAGCCGGCACACTGGGGTCTTGGCAGACACTAGAGAGTTTGAGAAGAAATTAGATGGGGGTTGGGTGCGGTGGGAAGGCCTTACCGGATTTTGTTGCCCTTGTCCTGGTTGCAGATGGGCAGAAGATCCAACAGAACTTTGTAGAAGTAGCGCAGAGTGAAATCAATGCCCATAACTGCTACTGTGTAACCAGAGGCCTTTTGGGAACTGGGAAAGGAGACAGATAAGTGTGTTGATCAATATGAAGAATGAGGAGATCTACAGTATGATGGGTCACCGCAATAGAGCTTTAGATCAGATCACACACTACATAGTCACATTTCCTCCTCTTAAGAGAGAACTGATTGGAAAACGTGAAGGGAAAACACTCTATCTACACTAGACATTATGGAACGCTGCCAGTTTCAAACAGCTTCATCATATCTCTACACACACGACCATACAAACACACACACACACGCACTGTGCCAAGCACCAACCCGACAGTGATAAGGCAGTTGTTTTTCATTTGCAACAGGTACTATTACGTACTACATATGCTATGCTTTTTTCAACTAAGACAGCAAATGTATGAAAAAAGTAAGTTAGGTAAGAAAAAGTGATAAAATTATTTACTAAAATTCTGTTAAAGGGATAGTTCATGCAAAACAAAAGTTTAATTCATGGTACATTATGACAAACTATACTAGGCTAGGCTTGATGTAAAACATTCCTAGTTTTGTGTTTCTTGTGACCAGTAATGATGTGTCAGGTTTGAATGTACATGAAGATAATAAAATTAAAAAAAAAATGAGTGAATAATGACTTTTACATAGCACACGAGTCCTATGAACTACATTAAGTAAGGTGTTTTTTTTTACTCATTTTAAGAGTTAGTGTAAAGCACTGGCCATTTCATTGTAGGAAAAAAAAAACTTTTCGAGAGTGAGTACAATTTTTATGTTGTGGTTGACCTATTCATTTAATTCTCTATATTGAAGTTATTTATATCATCCTTTTTAAAGTCTGATCCATACAAGCATTAAAAAAACAGCTAGTGTCTGAATAAGCAAAAATAAATGAATATCCACATTATAAAAGCCATAACGCATAGCAAATGATGTGTCTAAACCAGCGCTTCTCAAACTTTTTGACTTATAGACCCCCATGACTCCAACACAATATTCAAAGGGCCCCCTCCCCTCATACAGACCATTTTTCAGTATTTCTACCATTATGACAAAACGGCTTGTTTTAAAACAGAACAGAAACAGGGAGTACACAGATATATATAAAAATAATTTTTCAATAAAATGTTTTTCAATAAAAACAAAAGTTTTTAAGACCTCTAGATTTTTTCTTAAAACATTTTAATTAATCGTTAGAATTTTTTAAAAATATATGAATAATTTATTACTTAAATTACTTATCCTGTGGCCCCTGGATGAGATCCAACAGGTTTAAACATGAAATGTGACCCTTAAACAACTGACCTAGAGGCGTGGATGGTGTGGCTAATAGTGACCACATAGCCTGCTCCACCAACATCCAGGTAGGGTCCAGTAAAAGTGATAAGACCAGGATTGGCTACAGCATGTAGGTACCTAAAAGACAAAAGGATCACTAATTAGACCACATTTTAAACTGAAATTTATAAATTGATCAAAGTTTGTTTTGCTTTTTCATTAATTTTTTTCCTATACAATTATTGTATTAAAAAAAAAACACCCTTTTTATAGTGTGTACAGCTGCATATGAACACAAAATACCTTCTTGGGAATCTGTCAGTTCGCTAAGATTAGTCAACAGACTGTGGGATCTGTTGACCAGCATCCCACTAGGAGTTTGAAGACCTCCGTCCTGAGGCTCAAATCTTACCATTGCCTCCTGGTGGGATCGAAGGCTTTGTCCATGAGAGAACCGGGGTAAATCCGCAGCACCCCATTGGGCGTTGCTATGTAACGCCTCACAATGTAGCAGTTGAGGCTGCTCATCTCCATAAGACTCATCCATTCATCTGTCACGTGACTGGTGGCCATCACCTCATTCCTCACAGAAGACTGGAAGACCAAAGGAGGGGGGGTGTTAAAGAATTCTACTAAGCAGAGCATCATAAAGACTGGTGCGCTGCATTTCCCTAATGAAAAAGAAGAATTAAAGAGGAGAGGAAGGCTGCCAACTAAGAACTGCCAGTTAGGACTGAGAAATTAAGCATGTGACCACTAACTGTGAAAGATTGTGTCATTCCTAGGTTGGCTATGAGACATGTGCTGCTGAGATGGACATTAAGTGTGTGTTTGTGTGTACCTTCAAGCCTGGTTTGCTATGAGACATGTGTTGCTGAGATGGCCATTAAGTGTGTGTTTGTGTACCTTCAGGCCTGGGTTGGCTATGAGACATGTGTTGCTGAGATGGCCAGTAAGTGTGTGTTTGTGTGTACCTTCAGGCCTGGGTTGGCTATGAGCCGGGTGTTGTCACTCAGGTAAGCTGTGTAGTGCTCCACCATGCGCTTGGTCTCTGGCTGACTCAAGTGCTCATATGGAGAGGAGAAACTACCAGCAGACAACATCACTGTGGGACTCTCTGAAAAAAGTGAGAGATTAATCAGTTGTGCTGCTTAATTATATTAGCCCCAAAACCATTATCAATCATGCCTTAGTAACTGTAATATTCACTTACCAAAAAAAGTACACTGTTCAAAAGTGTGGGGTTATTAATTTAATTTAGGAAAGAAATGAAAATGTTTATTCAGCAAGGACACATTAAACTTATCCAAAGTGACAGTAAAGACTTATTCTTGAACTTTCTATTTATCAAAGAAGCATGAAAAAACACACATGTTTTCAACATTAAGCAACTCAATCCTTTTCAACCTTTATAATAGATAAGAAAAGTTACCAAATCAGCATACTAGAATGATCATGTGACACTGAAGACTTCAGTAATGGAAATTCTGCTGAAAATTCAGCTTTGCCAAAGGAATAAATTACATTAAATATATTAAATACAGAAAATAGTTACTTTAAATTGTAATAATATTCAACAATATTACTGTTTTACTGTATTTTTGATTAAATAATCACAGTGAGCATAACACTTAAAAAAAAAAAAAAAACAGTGGAGTTGACAGGCACAGCAATGACTTGACTCCCCAGAGGCAGACTAACATGAAACACACAACATGAGCTTAGTAAGCACGTCAGTAACAAAGTAAACTCGAGCAACTGCAGATACCCAGGCCTTTTTGGAATTCCATACACCCTCACCTGAGGATATTTTGACGCACAGCAGCAAACCCTGGGATGTTCTCATAGTGGATGATGTCTGTATGGAGGGGAGCTTCAGTCATCAGGTAAGGTCGGGTGAGTGACGGATGCATGAGGGTGTAGCCTGAAAGATATGCAAACATTATTTTAAATTCAATTTAATATAAAATATGAAAAAAACGAATAAACATTCATTAAAAAAAACTGTGAAAAAATACTTTATGACCATTTTCCACCCTTTTTCTGACCAGCAGAATTACTAAATTACTACTAAATAATTACATTGAATTAGAAACTTTTTTGGCTATTGGGCCTATATGTAAATGGGCCTATTTGTATATGAAATGCATAACTTTTCGATGCATAACATAGACGATGTTTCCTGGTCCAGTATAGTTTTTAACATACTGTATATTGTAAAAGCTTTTCAACTACTAGGTTACACACAAAAACTGTGGCCTGCACAACACAGGGAGAGACTTCCTTTTCAAAAGAACTGAGAGGCAGTGCTATCTCGTCTCTTTACCGAACAGCTGGATACAGCAGGTGCCACTTCATTATCCCAGTCATTAGGATAGACTGTATACTCTCAGGAACAGATAATCACCCTCATTTTTTTACATTTGTAATACAACACAACCTTTTAGTGCAAAGTGGCAATTTCTGGAGGGCTTATCGAATTGTTTTAATATGTATTAAGTGGAGGTTAACAGTGTTGTAAATTCAGAGACACTTCACCCTGCTGGGGGAAGTCATGGAAAAACAGATGTTATTTAGAGCAGGATGAAGAAAGCGTAAATGAAAGCTTGTCAAAATAAGGCCAACAGCGCTTAATTTCATTCTTTGGTGGACAGTGTTTGCATAAGCAGACTACTGCTCCTTTTCAAGGGGTAAAACAAAACATTTTAATTCTTTTCTCCCTAAAAAGTTCAAATCCACCGAGTTTTGCTGGTCCCACTTCAAGAAACTGGCATGATGTCAGCCGTGGCTCTGACTCTGAGCCGCCCAACGTGGGACAGCTGATTCCCCTAATGAACTGTTAAAGGTTAATGGTCTTCAGTTCAGTCTTTTGTGTCAGTGAAGATCAGACCTCCAAATTCATGGTCAAGTTGAAGTGAGGCAAACAGGGAAACATGTAAAACAAGCTTGGCTCATTTTGGCTAATGGAACCAGGTGGATCTCAACCAAAAACAATCATCAGCGCACGCATCTTCCTACCTTTATTGTCTATGAGGAATGTATATGAGGCCAGGGAGTCCTGGTAGTAGGTGACGTCTTCCAGTATGTATGCCAGATTCACATCCACTCCAACTACACCCAGCAACAAGTTCCCAAAGTAGCATGGCCGGCTGACGGTCATGATGAAACCTACAAACAGAAAAAAACTTCCTTTCAATCTGTCCCCATATTAATAAGTTTATTATTAATAAATTTATGTAAGCGGTAATTCATGAAGAAATATTATTAACTGTGAGGTACAAGCCATTGGCAAAAGACAAGTGATACTAAAAAACAATGAACAAAGTAGATATGTTTCTTGGGTGTTAACTTCGGGCACTTTCTTTGACAAAGAGGTTTATAAAAAAAGAAAAAAGATATAAATAGATTTTCCTTGATAACATCATTTATATTATAGATTTTCTCTTTTTTTTTTACCCTTGTCCCAGACTATTTATGCTAAAAAAAAAAACATACAAAAATATTTGTACGTTTTAAATCAAATTATGACTGTTCCTTCATCTCTTTCAGCCATCATTTCCATCATAGCCTAATACAGTTTAATCAAAATGTAGAAAATAAAATGAGACTTTTATGAAGCAATAAAAAAAAAATCAAGGTAAATATCATTTGTGAGCAGATTTGTATTATGCATAATTTCCAATCAAGCTATAATTTCATCAGAATGACTTCCTGTCTAGCAGCCCCATAAGAGCAGACTCTGCATTTGTGATTTTTGGCTTTACTTATAGTTTAAGTTTACAGTATATAGCACCATGGAAACTTTCTGGTGCGGAGCCACTTCTGAGGTCTTCTGAGTGCATATGGTTTGTCAGAGGGAATGTTAATGTGCCAGACTTGAGCTTGATGCCAAGTTCAAGATCTTAACTTACCGTCTCCCATCTGGTCTGCATAAGGCAAGCTGAAGGAGGCCACGTCGATCATTCGATTGGGGAGGTTGATGTAGAAGCGGCCCACGGTGGTCTCCAGGTTACTGAGCTGGTTTAAAACCATCATACTGCCCTTCACGACAGGCAGGGCGGAACGATCTGGAACGCCATACTTAACAGAGTTCTGCTCGGCCAGGTCTCGCAAGAAGGCCAGCTCCTTGAGTCCCGTTACTCCTTCTGAGGACGATGGTATAGAAAAACTCATTAAAGCGGACCACGATGGTCTCCAGGTTACTGAGCTGGTTTAAAACCATCATACTGCCCTTCACGACAGGCAGGGCGGAACGATCTGGAACGCCATACTTAACAGAGTTCTGCTCGGCCAGGTCTCGCAAGAAGGCCAGCTCCTTGAGTCCCGTTACTCCTTCTGAGGACGATGGTATAGAAAAACTCATTAAAATTGACATTTTATACTCAATATCAATGTGCTATGTGTCTCTTGTGCACCACTGGGTTTTGGAACAAAGCTAGTATCAACCAATTTATCTAAATTTTCACAGATATTGCAAGCGTTTTGTAAAGGTTTTGCCTATCTGGCCTATTTAGAGTGCAGCACAGTAAAAGAAAGCCATTCACATCCCACACAGATTACTTAACCGCAGAGCTAAAAATCACACTTAATCTATTTCCATCATGAAATGGTGGTTTTGGACCTTTAACAGAAAGAATAGGAGGTTTTTGTTAGTCAGTCTTTCACTTTTGGAGGAACATTCAATTCTGTTGAATTGTTATTGGACTGGACATAAATTTCAACACTCCAGTCTATGAATCTGACACTGTGACAGGTTTTAATATGTGAATATAATACGACTTGTCATAAATGAACCAGACTTCAAATAAACAAGGAAATATGAGTAATGTGTGTGTGTCCTTCTGAGCCTCACAATACCTAGTCAAAGTAGCGTAACCTGCATTGCCAAGCTAATCGATCTGAATCATATCTCTGAGTCATCTAATGCATAAAAAAGGCCTTTCTCACTCTTTCATGTCACTGAGTGGCCTTTGATGTATTGTCGCATTTCTCTTTCTTCTTTTCGATGATCTGCATTTTAATTTTCATGATGCCAAACTAAAGTATGCTAATGGAAGGCTAATACATGCGGGGAGAGGAACAGCTGAGGAGAGCAATATAATGGAGAGTGGTTTCTTACACGTAAACGCGCACACACAAAGACCAGAAGAAAGATGAAGGGGTGTCAAAACAGCTGAGCATGTTTTGAAAAAGCACAAACATGCACACAGGTGTTCACCGTGAGCCCTTGTGGCTTGCAAGACAAAGAGTTCATAAAAAAGCTGCACTCCTTGTCTGTATCTCACCGTTCATGAGAGCATAGGTGAGGATCATGACAGAGTTGTTGAGGTAGCGGTTCTCCTCTTTGACCACGCTGAGGGTTGCTCTCTTTTCGTGATCGGATGAGTCTCGGGAGGTGACGCCTGATGACAGGTAGATTATCACCATGTCGGTGTCTGTGAGAGGGAAGATGATCAATAATCAATCATACTGAATATAATAACCGACCTCGGGGGAAACTTGAGAACATACACACCAAAATATATATAAAATATATAATACTCTAGTAACTATTTCTCAGGGACCAATTCTTCATGGGCACATTATCTTTAAGTCTGCATATTTATATAAATAATATAATATATATTATATAATAAAAGTTGATTAGCAAGTTTTTCTTGCTTGCTTTCTTTCTTTCTTTCTTTTTTGAGCAATTCCTCCCAGACTAATAATTAATTACCAAATTAAAAAAAACTGTATTCCGAAAGAAAACAATAAAATTATAAATTACTTGACTTAATGAAAAATGACTGAAATGACTGAAAATGACTTGTATTTCTTTGGCCAATAAATATTGTAATATATAAATCAATTAGAAAATGTATATATTTTATTTTTTACTATTTCAAAATTTGTCATTTTGCCCCAATAAAAATTTGACAACTTCTGTGTGGTAATAATTCAGCCTTTCTCTTAAAATCTAACTTCATTATAGTTGACTCTTGTCTGACTGCATGCTATTTTGTGCATTAAAAAATATGATCATAGAGAATTTTTGGTAACGCTTTAATTAAAGCCCTTATGTACAGTACATTATAAAGTTATTCATAATGCATGTTATAATGCATTATATCTTTTCATAAACAACTGTAACCAAAGTTAAAATGCATTATAATATTTGCAGATTCTAAATTTGGTTGTTTGTCGTGTTTTAATGCATTATACTTTCTAAAAGTGTGTTCTATTAATTGATAAGTATTATAATGTATTATAACTATGGTTACAATTATTCATGAGACCATACAATGCTTTATAAGGTGCATTACAAGGCATAATTACTGCATTAAAAATACTTTTATAATGCATTTTACAGAAAGGCCTTAAGTATTAAGGATTTTTTAAATACAAAATATAAAATCTCTTTTAGAGAAAAATATTTGTGTAATTGAACCGTTAACTGAAAACCCTATAGTTACTGGTCACAACCGTTCAGTTAAAGTGTGTTAAAAAAAAATATATATTTTTATTATATAATTAAACATTAAAGAACACTTTTGTTAACACTAAACAGAAAATACATAAAGGTAGGAAATGACATGGTGTTAGTAAATCTAATGTAAATAAGCTTTGATTCTTACTAGTCGGCTGTCTGGTGACGTTGCTTGTGTTCCTTAACAACTGAAAGGCTTTCTGGAAGCCCAGTGCATGCTGGGTAGAGCTGTCAGACGCTTTAATGTTGTTGATGAAGGTGCTCATCTTCCTCTTAGTCTCGCTGGTAGCAGGTGAGAGGAAGCTCTTGTAGCACTGATCCAGAGAACAGGAACGAACAGTATCTGCTATTGTCAACACTGAGATCTGAGGGGGGGAAAAAAGGACATTGAGTGCCAAAAGAACAAATGCAATCAGTGGAGGGTGTATGACGATGATGACGTCACTTCCTTACTTTATCATGCTCATCGATGGAGTTGAGGATGATTAGCGCAGCGTCACGGGCGATCTGGAGTTGGGTCTCAGTGACAGAGGCACCATGGTCTATGATCACTACAATATGTTTCGACTGCGGCCTTACTGCCGAAACATACACAGGCCTGCCAACACACAGAAACAAAGATTTACGGTCTTACTTATTTGCAGAATGCAAGAACCCTGCACAACGACTTTTCCTGGACTCTGATGGCAAGAAGCCTAGTGTAGTCCTGGCGTGATTCCCGCTCTCTTTACTACAGTGTTTGTGCAAGAGATCCTGCACTCTATTGTGTTGTTTTTGGAAACCCTTTTCAACTCCAACACTAAGAAAAAGCTGCCCATATTGCCTAAATCTCGTATATACATCCTATAAGTGGTTAAAAATCTGTGAGTACCAGATTTGTTGTGCAATCTCCAGCAGGAGGAGAGAAGTTGTGGGAACGGCAGCAGAAATGAGCCCATCTTTCAGCTCAGGCACACATTGCCCACAACACTGGGTGGCAGATTCCAGTGGGGTTTAGTAGGGGCGACCCTGCATTCCAGTCAAGAGCATGGGGCCTATTGTAACTATGTTAAACAGACCTAAAATGCCTCTCTAGAATGTAATTTACACTCAGCTACACAAGACGCTACATTCTGAAGTGCCTGCCTATGACAGTGTGAGCGATGAACTTACAGATCACAGTTTTTATACAAAAAGAGAAAATAACCTTTAGTTAGTCTCTAGCTAAAAGATGGGGACAAAGAAAAGTGGCAAATCCTTTATTTAAAAATACTAATATAAAGACAAAAACAGCTAGAGCATTTTTTAACAAGTAAGTACTTGGCTAAAATGTCTAAAGATTTCTAATAGAAACAGCTTCTTTTAAAAATGCAGTTTTGAAAAATATGTATTTGGATGGTGTGCATGAATGTGTTTGAATTTTATTAAACAGGAAGGTTAAAAAAATAGAAAGTCTTATTACCAAGCATGCCCTAAAGACAGTGATAACAGGGGCCGGCTCCAGGTATGGGCAGGGGTGGGCTGAGCCCACCCAAATTACTGTCTTGCCCACCCAGTCAGAATTAGGTAAAGATTAAATTTTTTGTGCATTGATTAAAACCAATCTGAAGCAGGCTGTATTTTGAGAAGTTTAAGATAGCCTATAGCTGGAGACTGCCCCAACAATTATAAAATAACACCAGAGAATTGCAACATTTTTCTTTTGAATGCAAGGCACGCTGAATTCACGCGGAGGCTTCAGTCTGTTGCAGCAGAGGCTGACAACGAGCAAAAACGGTCAGAAATATTTGTGCGCTATCACGAGGAATTTGCGAGTTACAGGGAGTTTAATACGTGAATATGCATAGCCTACCACTGAAATTACCTGAGCAGTTGAATTAATGTTCTAAAAAAGACCCGCTCATTCAATAACGTGCATTCATTGCATGGACGGGGCAAGAACATAATATAAGCGTCTAAAATGCATGTAGGCTATACAGTTCAGTTGAAAGCTTACCCCTTTTGGCTTGCTGTTAATGCTGAATGTAATAATGAAAACTGGAAGTAAAGAGCTTAAGCGATGAAAGTTGCGTTTGTTACTATAGCAACAGTCGGTTCGACTGTAAGAAACGTAGCGTTCCCCTTCTATGACGTAAACGACCAACAATATCCAGTGATGCAAACTATTTGACTTTTTTGTCAAATTCCGCCGTTTTGAATGACAAGTAGGTCTGTCACTTATGTGATTCATGTAATTCATAATTGATTATGATAACAATAGCATTTTTCTGTTTTGCATTTTCAACAATACAATACAACTGAAATGGAATGGGTGCATATTTTAAAATAAAAAATATTATTTGCAGTTCAGATTGATTACTTCACAAAAATTATTATTCTTTTACTGATCTTTTTTCTTCTTTTATTTAAATCCTTTATTTAGTTTCTTTAAATAAATACTATTACCATCTTTATATTTTCCTCAAAACGATTGGTCCCCCCAATGTTCTAGACATGATTACAGCCTTGTTTGGCATAAATAGAAAAGTTAGTTGAAAAGAATCACCAGTGTAGAACAGAAAGACAACAAAGAGGGATTTTACTATTCAATAAAGAATAAAAAATTTATTTTGTTGTGAAAGTGCATGATATTCTAGGCTGCCCATGAAAGGTTTTTCTTCAGTGTACATATAATATAGTTAAAATAGCAATATCTACATGACTTTTTTGTCAAATTCCGCCGTTTTGAATGACAAGTAGGTCTGTCACTTATGTGATTCATGTAATTCATAATTGATTATGATAACAATAGCATTTTTCTGTTTTGCATTTTCAACAATACAATACAACTGAAATGGAATGGGTGCATATTTTAAAATAAAAAATATTATTTGCAGTTCAGATTGGGCCTGGTGATAACTATGGGATTCAATACCTTGCTAAAAGATATATCAGTGTTCAGAGTGAAAACTTAAAGGACAGTGTGTGTGTGTGTGTGTGTGTGTGTGTGTGTGTGAGAGAGAGAGAGAGAGAGAGAAATTCCGCCGTTTTGAATGACAAGTAGGTCTGTCACTTATGTGATTCATGTAATTCATAATTGATTATGATAACAATAGCATTTTTCTGTTTTGCATTTTCAACAATACAATACAACTGAAATGGAATGGGTGCATATTTTAAAATAAAAAATATTATTTGCAGTTCAGATTGATTACTTCACAAAAATTATTATTCTTTTACTGATCTTTTTTCTTCTTTTATTTAAATCCTTTATTTAGTTTCTTTAAATAAATACTATTACCATCTTTATATTTTCCTCAAAACGATTGGTCCCCCCAATGTTCTAGACATGATTACAGAAAAGAAAGAGAGAAAGCTCTTTGTACCTGCTCCTGTGCTCGTATGTGCCCTTGCAGTGAAACTTGTGAGCAGGAAACACAGTGAAAATACCCTCCTCTGAGCTGAAGTACTGCCACTTGATCCCTGGATTGGACTTCAGGTTGTCTGCCAGCACTAAAGTCAAAGAGAAAGCAAGAATAGTTTGAAAAGTTTGATATCTTTGTATTACTCTGTGGTCTTTTCTTTAAAAAATAAAAATAAAATAAATAATCATTAATAAAGAAATTAAATAAACTTTTATATATTTTTTATTACTCTATGGCGTCTTCTTAAAACTAAACTAAACTAAACTAAACTAAACTAATAAAATAACAAGACCACACAAACAAACATATAAGTAAACAAATAAGCGAGGAAAGAAAGAAATACTTTTCTCTGTTTATTTTCCGAGATAACAACCAGTTGACTTTGTTATCCATTATTTGTCAATCACAATCACTACTTGCCAAGTCATATATCATTATTAACGTTTAAAGCAGTATTTCATAGAAACATTAGTATCTAAATGTCCCAAACTCCCAAAGACAATCATCCAGAACTAATTTATTATGCCATGCAGCATGGACCTATATGAATGGTGTGTGCACTTGAAGTAGGCAGCTGTAGGGTTCGTGTCAGTTGAACAGGCCCGAGCTGTGTGACGGCCGGAGCCCAGACAAGCTGATCCTTTCCAAACACTCGAGAAGCACAGCGATCACCACTCTGCTGCCATCAATTCAAGTGTTTATTTACTTAACAGGAGCCGGGAAGTGAAGGAAAGTGGGGAAAAGAACAAGAAAAGACAGGAAAATAAGGAATACAACAAAGAGAGGCAGTGGAGGTATTCAAAAGGGCATAAGTCTGATTATATGTATGATCCTTTTCAGAATGTACTTTAGTAATATTACTTGGATCTTTTACACCGTAAATTAAAAAAGAAAGAAAAAAAAAAAGATTTTAAGTCACATAAAAGGGAAATACGAGAGGTTACTCAGGTCAAATAAATAACCTGTAATTCACCCATTCCACTTAAACATGCCGACATCTTTAAGTGGTTTGAGTGATTCAAAATGTTAACAATACAAGGCCAATATTATATAATATAAAATAAAATATAAAAATAATGAAGGAAGTAAAGGTTTAGAGTAAACACTAGCTTTAGTCTTTCCTAATCAATTATGACCTTTCCTAATTATGATCGAAATAAACAGTTCATCAAATTGCTGTGGAAACCTGCAGAAGAAAAATGGATGTTAAGCACGAACAGGCGTCCCAACCACAAATGAGCCATCAATCCATACCCAAAGTATAAACAGGAACTTTACAGCATGTTGACAGCTTTAAAAATCATACACATGTGCCGCCTCAGAGTGCTTAATCCCCCATCCAGTGTTTAGAGTTGCTGAGAAGCAGTGTCATGACGTGACACCCCTTCATTTCCTCTATCCCTTCATTCCACTTTAAGTCTTCACCGAATGTTATATTTCTTCTCGCTTACGGTGCTGTCAATTTCATGGTTATTTTTAACTCCAAAAATTGTTGCATTTGCCTCTTCCTTATTTAAACTCTCTCTCATCCAGCCAATGGGAATTGTTGTGTATTTCTCAGTGACACAGATAAACCAAAAGTTGTGTCTATGTAGGCTATGAGCCTAAACAGTATGTCCCAATTTCCCAAATCATAGTAAACTGCAATGGATTTTTAAAAAGTGCACATTTTCTCATGCTTTTGTGGCTAAAACTGAACACAATTCCTTGAAATCAAACACAAGAGGAGTTTGTGATGGTGTTGTGCAAGTTCCAATCCCCCATAAAATTGTATCCTTAACCTGACAAAAAAAAGTAGCATTGTTGTGATATCTTGTTCTAACAAATTAGTAATTGGTAAATCAGTTTTTCTTAACCAATTACTGCTATGCTAAGCTATTAGGCTAAGCTATTTAGCTTTCTAATTAGCCGGGTTTCCATCCAAAGTTGCGAATTTAACTTATGCATATATATCACATAAAACATTTGCGAATAAGCACCGTTTCCATCCAACGAGTCAAAGAGAACAAAATCGTCACTTCCTGGTAGAACTGGGGCTAGGCTATATATCACTATGAAAAGTAGGAGAAACCCCTGAATATAATAATTTTCATAGGCCTATAAAATAAATTACTTACTAAATTACTTAATTATAAATTACTAAATTACGAAACAAAATAAATGCGGTCATTGTTTTCGGAGGTTTATGCTGCTGTTTGGGAACGTAGTCATGTAACAGTTCTGGGAGGCAATTATACAGAAATACGTTGATGATAGACTTTGTTTGGACATTTCAAAATGACCATAACATTTCAGATGCTGAGGAACGAGATTGGTCCACTGGTTAGGATTTGCCGTCCCATAGCGCAGTCACATGACTTTTTTGATGCGCACGGAGGAATTTACTCGGCAAATGCGTTTCCATCACCTTTTATTCGCATTAACCCTTTTTGCACAAGTCAAAAACCGTAAAAACGTTTTTGCGAATTAAGGGATTTTTATTTGAAATTTGCCGTTTCTACGCATAATTTTTTTATATCCATGTATGTGGTTCATATAAAACAGTGAAATCGCTCAGGAAATCCGTCTTGTCTTGCCTGCACTCGAGACGGTGACGTGTGAGCGCCACTGACAGATTCTTCACTCCTATTGGTTGTTGCTTGCGAAATTCGCTGTTCATTTGCATAAAGTTAAACAATTCTTAACTTTTGTCGCTTGACTCGCATCGCTTGACACGCCCACATTCTGTTGCCAATGGTCACTGTCGCTCGTGTCGCCGGAAGTCGTCAGCTCTCCATTGAAAATGAATGGGAGCATGTCGCTTTGTCGCTGTGTGTCGCTGGCAGTGTGAATGGGGCTTAAGACAGTAATATCAGACCTTAAAGGCCTCACATCAGTGACCCGCCTTCAGTCTGAGGTTCTGTTAGATTCTGAGAAGATGAGGATGTGAGCTAGCACTCCTCTAAGGACACCCTAAGTCTGCGCCAGGCCTTGGGCCTTGACTTTCCATTCACCAAGATCATCTGACTCAAACTGGTTCTTTTTCATCAACCAACTTCAGCAAAGTAGAGAAGCAGTCCTTGGTAAAATGACAAGCACACAACAGAAGCTTCGAATTGTATTTCTGTGGTATCCTTGAACACAGCGTCTTCTCAACATGATGTAAACACACTAACTAGCGGAAGTGTCTGTGGGCAGGTCAGACTCTGTTTGTATTTCGTGGGCAGGACATTGAAATTTGCCGTTTCCATCACTCGTGTAGTGTCTGGACCAATCAGACACACAATATATATATTTTTTAGTTATATTTAACAAATACTCTGACTGATTCGCTACACTCGTTTCTGATGCGATACTTCAAAATGCGCATAAAAACAGGGTGATGGAATCATAGCTATTGAAGGCTAACTGTGAAACTGTAATAACTTGGCTAATTGTGGAATCATGATTTTTTGATGAACAGAAAGTTCAAAATAAGAACACTTACTTGGAATAAAAATTTCTTATAACATTACTATTTAATGGATCTTTGCTAATTAAAATTATTAATTTCTTACATGCATTGTGGTACTCTCTTAAATGCGCAGCAAAGTCTGACACGGAAGAGAAGAAATTGTTGAATAAACTCGTTATTTTTGTATTCTTTGTGCACAAAAAGTATTCTCGTAGCTTAATAAAATTACGGTTGAACCACTGATGTCACATGGACTATTTTAATGATGTCCTTACTACCTTTCTGGGTCTTGAACATGATAGTTGCGTTGCTGTCTATGCAGGGTCAGAAAGCTCTCGGATTTCATCAAAAAAAAATCTTAATTTGTGTTCCGAAGATGAACGAAGATCTTACGGGTTTGGAACGACATGAGGGTGAGTAATTAATGACAGAATTTTCATTTTGGGGTGAACTATGCCTTTAATAGTACTTATTCTTCTATCAGCAACAAAATAAGTACATACTTTCAGTGCCTATAAAGTTGGGACGCAGCCTTATGACAGTCGGGGGAACTCTTACAGAACTTTGAGAAATAAACAGACGGAGATGTGAAGAGGAGTAAAGGGTGACACAAAACCAAACCTACAAAATAAATCAAAGACATCACAACACACACAAACACACCATTATCTCTCTCTTTCTCGCTCTCATCACTCAATTCTTAAGGGTTTTCCTCCCTCTTAATCGTTTTGTCTCTTTTCGCCTTCTTCCTCCCTTCCTCCTCTTTTCATCAATGTTTAGACTAACAGGGATCAAATATGACTGATGACTGCCTGCATGGTTAGCAGGGTCAGTATTCAGTGACAAATGGAGGGAGAGTGGTAACATGAACTCCTGATGACTGCCTTACAAAAATAAGCATCTGTATGAAGATGAATTGAGATAATCTGTTCTGGAGGGAGAACGGGTGTGTGAAGCCAGAAGAAGGGAGAGTCTGAACTAAGGTGGCTTAAAAAAATAAATAAAAATTTGCTGTCAGAAATTAATCTGTAATTAGGCAATATCGCTATTCATAATCGCAGATGAGTCGCATTCGATTATGAACGCGATATTGCTAGCTTGTCATTGAAATACGGCTCGGTGTATTAAATGCCACTCCATCTGAAAGCAGGTGATGTCGATTTACTACCAATCACGGAACCGGCTTTACTGACGAGATGCGCCTGACAATCGCATTCGATTTTTTGCACAGTCCTAATTTTGTGCATCTCAGCTTACCAAGAGTCGCCTGGCGATTGATGTACGCTGCTCCGCTGATTTTTGTTTGTCTTATCCCATGCTTATGTTTCTCATTACACATCTTACATTTCAACTGGGTACATAATCCAACAAATGGCCTCAGTTGAATTCTGACATGCCATCAAAAAGGAATCCAACAGCAACAGAGATAACTAGCAGAAGTGTTTGTGGGCAGGTCAGACTCTGTTCGTATTTCGCGGGCAGGCGGGGATTATGCAAATGTCCTATGCAGTGACGTATACAGGCAAAAGATTCGAAAATATGACGACTCGTTAAGGTGATTCAGAATCGACTCTCTCTTTTGAGAGACAATATCTTTATTTATCATACAATTTTTTGATTAACAACTTTGCAGTTTGTTTTCATTTAAGGATAGCTACGTTATAAACCGCAAAAGAGATATTTTTCAAAAACCCATATGACCTGCTCTTTAAAATCCAATTCTCACTATTAACTACAACTTTTACCTCAATAAACTCTTAATGTGCTGCTTTTTGATAGTTAGTAAGGTAGTTAAGTTTAGGTATGGGTAGGATTGAGAATAAAGCATTAAAGGTGGCCAATTCTCACTATTAACTACAACTTTTACCTCAATAAACTCTTAATGTGCTGCTTTTTGATAGTTAGTAAGGTAGTTAAGTTTAGGTATGGGTAGGATTGAGAATAAAGCATTAAAGGTGGGGTAAGCGATTTCTGGTAGCCAATGTTGACATTTGAAATCACCAAAACAAACACGCCCCTACCCCAAAAGGGTTTCGCCCCTATTTTGATAGCTCAGCACACACATACGTACGCAACCCAGGCAATGATTAGTTCTGTGAAACAAAGCAAAACCAATGTTACACTGTGTCTACACCAGACGCAAGTGGTGCGGCGCATCAAAATACTATGGAACTCATTATAATCAGTGATGCTGTCTACACCATAGATATATATACATATCTATGGTCTA